GTCGATTTACCGATTTGGTAAGCAAAAATCGCGCATACGCCGCATTTGACCCACAACAGAAGCGAACGCTCAAAAATGCGAAACCAAAACGCACAACGCACAAAATCCAATTGGCAAATAAAATTATCAACTTGATTGGCCGGATTTACCAGTCTGCCCATTTTAATTGCATTTGGTTTATTTTTATTTTTTTTCTTTTGATTTGGAGTTCTATTAGCTGCATTTTCATTGCGTGCCGCGGGCAATTTAGATTCACGCTCATGACGATTATATAATGTTCAGTAGCTGTCGCTGGGAGCAGCGAAAATTGCTTTGATTGACACTTGATTGATCATTCCGATCAGCGGCTGAGCCGCTGAAGAAAGATAATCAAAGCCACGAGCGAGCCGCAAATGGAAATGAAAATGAAAACGATTAGCAACGGATATGGTATATTGAATTTGAAACATGTTTTGCGATTTATCTGACTCAATCGTGAATCTTAGACCAGTTTATTTCCGTTACTCCTATGATATATTATAACTATTAAAATTATTAGATTACTTCCGATAGTTCCTTTTCTGATATATACCATACGAAAAGTTCCTGTAGTTCCGATATCTTCAATTATGACTTACTTTACCGGTATTATTAATTAGATTGGTTCCCATAGTTTCATATGGGAAAAAAGTAGTCTATCAATATAAAAACTGTACTAGGTACCGATATCCGCAACTGCGTTATAAAATATCATTATCAAAATCGATGAATACCTCCGATTGTTCGTATTAATAATTCCTAAAGGAAATATATCGCATATCGATATTTATCTCCGACAGCTCCTATTATGCTGAAGTGTATCGAATAAGCAATTATTTTAATGTCGAATTTCGTATTTAACGATTGAAACTATCCGTTCAATTTCGATAGTTCTTTAAAATATATCCGATATTTACTATTATGATATATTAAGTATATCGATATTGATTGGCTTTGATAAGAAAGGTAAAGTATTTCTATATAAACTATTATCTTAGTTCCGAAAGTTATATTTATGATATTTCGATATATTGATGAAATATCGATACCAAACTCTATCAATATCTCTGAACGTTTTTAATATTATATATACACACATATTTAATACCAATTAGTTTAGTTCCCATAGATCTGAAAGGAAATATTTAGTGTATCGATATATACATCCGAAATTTCGTATATATATATATTTATATATTAATATATAAGAAAATTTGAACGTTGCTCCAGAGTCTTATGTTCCTTTTGAGTGAAGCATGTCTTCTGCCAGAAGCCTTATACCTTTTGTGAGAGTATGTAATAATCTTGGCGCACAAATCTCACTGGCGATACAAATTTATTGGCAGCGGCAAAAGTGAAAGGATTTCCATAGCTTCCCCTAGTTTTATTGGCCACTTCGTTTTGGCATCTATCGCCTCATCCAAGTCTCGAGGCTCGCGACTGGCTTGCATGTCAAATTAATTGATTGCCCAGACATTTGGGCCCGACGTGTCAGCGGCAGGTGTCGCCGGGTGTCGACGCCGTGTGGCAACCAGCTACTTGATCTGATCTCTGGCAGCGCTCAGCTGCTGATTGAAAATGAAAAGTCGTTTGTGGAGTGCGCTGCACAAAGTGAAAGTGAACTGCACGATGGCAGATTTATGGCCATCCATTTTAAGTTGCTTACTGACAATCAAAAGCTAATCACAGCACTAGCATATGCCAATCAGCTGAGCCCCGATAAATAATCCAAGCTTAGACAATAAATAAACAAAGCTGGCCATTATTTAGCGCTTTAATTTAATAGGACTATACCTACATGCAATATACTTGAAATTGTAATAATCTATCGTATTAGCTAGAATTCTCTTCTTGACGCACTTGAACTTTACTCATATCTATAATTCCAATATAGATATAAATTATATATTGTTAAGCAAATTCATGCCAAAAATGTAAAAAATGTTATTATATTAGTTCGAAAATAAATTCTTAAAAAAGTTACCGATTTAGGCTTAAGTTCGAACTATATTTTATTTTTATTTTGAAATTCTTGCAATTGCATTTTTTATTTAAAATCCTTTATTAATATAAGCTTAAGAGACTCCTTACTTACAACTGCCGCTACTTTTATTCGCCCAAAGAGGAATAGATTTTTGTAATGAGAAAATGTTTCGCATATAACTCACATTGTTGGGCGGGGGAATAGACTACATACTATAAAAACTGTTGGAGTCGCTTAGCTGCTGACACGGCGCAATTCATATAAAAACTCATATGGAACATAAATTTTGGCCAGCTTCAGTTTTGGCTCTGGCCGCATATGCTGGGCGTGGCAGTTTGTGCGCCTTGCGCAGACATTTATTATGTTTCAAGTCAGGCGCCAAAAGCGAAGGTTTTACCATACAGCATAAAAGAGGGAAAAGTGTTGCCAGGCTGGCAAACTGTCGGCGACAATTGCAAATGAAATATAAATTTAATATTTTATGGACACACTCACACGCTCAGCTAACTACACACAGAATTTTTGGGCACACAGCGATATAAATGAATGTCACACATTTTCTGGCCCCTTTGTAACAACTCTTTTTATTTTACTATTTTTTATTTTTTTGGTAACTTATGATGGAAATTAATATGCGAGGTTTGACTCTTGGGCTTGGGCTCGACGAAAATGATTAGTGAATTTATGTGGAAATTATGCAAACGACGCGTACAAATTAATATGGGACTATATAATGAAATGCCTTCAAAAATTTGTCAACACGTTGCGTTTGGACACTTGGCCAAAAGGTGATAGAACTGAGATCACGTTTTCGAAAAGATCTTGTATACCCTTGTAGAGGGTATTATAAGTTTGTCATGAAATGTGTAACGAATAGATAGAGACATCTCCGACCATCTTTCAGTTGCAGGCAGTACATATGTCGGAACCGGACGGATCGGACCACTATTTCATATAGCTACCATAGAAACAATCGGTCCCAAAATAGGTTCTTGTATGAAAAACTTTTTTGTTTATCAAGATGTCTTATCCAAATTTGGCATTTAAAAGTTTTACTATACCCCCTACTGTGTCCAAAATCTTATCGACATCGGACCACTATATATTATAGCTGCTATTGGAAAGATCGGTGGAATAGTGGGATCTTAAATGGCTAAATATTCTGTTTTCAAAGCATTTTCAAACTGCACTATTCTCTGATATCCGCAAAAGGGAAATGTCTACAAGGGAATTGGAAATTAAGCATATTACATTTAAAAGTTGCATTATGATCTTGTGCTTGTTATGTGAATATACCTTAAATATTTCTTGCTTATTAAAAATGATTAAATGGGTAGTGCATTTGGCAAACAGTAAATTCCCGTTTCTATTATTTATTAAATTCTAATAGTTGTTTTTAATTAAATTAATAAAATGAATAATATAATCGTGTGTTAAATATAAAGTAATAGTAAATATCAAGCCTAGCTCAAGCCCGAACTGTTACTCTGAACTTTGCTATATTTCGCTTTATTTAAAAAACAGCTCACATATTTTTTATAATTACACAAAAATAAGTAAATATGCCTTAAGAAATTCAAATTAAATGTGTGTTGAAGAGAAACTTCAGAAAAAATGCCCAAAAGCCCAAATACATGCATAATTATTTGACACCTTGAAAAATAATCAAATTGTGCGCTTGCATGACAATGAGATTTGGAGGTGCGTTCAATAAAAGTTTACAAAAAACAGTCTGTGAGAACTTGTATTATATATATATATATATATGTATATATATGTATATATAGATATATTTGTGGTGTATACATAATATATACATGTTAGGCTTTTGATATTTAATTGAAATCGAGAATTTCAACAGCAAATGCTGTGATTTAGTGATCTCTGTACGGTAGAGAAGAAATTAACATAAAATAACAATAAAACTGCTTCAAAAGGGTCGACAACAAACTCAACTGCAACTTGTCCGTTTGTGTTTTGTTGTCCTTATGACAACTTTGTCCGAGTGCCACAAAAAGTGTGGACAGCCCAAGAGATAAATCAATGTTCGTTGTGGCATTAAACAGTTGACGTACTTCTTGTTGATCATTGCTGGAACGATCTGACAATAAATTATTGCATATTTGACAGTAGCCTTTATGTAAGAGAATAAGATATTGCGCGCGAGATCAAGAAACTTAATTGTTAACTTAGTTTTTGCCTCTCTCCGTCTCTCATTCTCTCTCTCACTCTCTGTCTATCTCTGGCTTATCAGCCGTGACTGCAACGTGTTGCAAGTTACGCCATAAAATTGCCAACTACCATTGATAATGATCCCCTTAAATACACATATATATATATATGTTTATATAAACTGCCTGACCGGGTTTATCAATTGTGTTAATCTGGCAACATTATGTCAAACAAGGCACTGTCAGGCCTCAGTCAGCGTGTGATATGGCTGGCTCAGTGCAGCTAGAGCCTTGGTTCCAGCCAGTCTTTGGCCAGGCTCTGGACACCGTCGCCAAAATGATCGATTGCGCGCAAACGCATTGACATATCGACATGCATCTTGCATTATTAAGCGAATGTCAGGAATTCGAAATGAAGACCGAGACGGAAACCATCCACGGAAATGTTCTTGTCGCAATCATTCTGCTTAGTCTTTGCCTTCGCCTTCTTCATCTTCTTCTTCTTCTTCTTCTGCTACTGCTGGCTGTTGGCCAGCAGCCCGTCGACGTTTAGCTGCGATTGTTATCGTAATGATGCGTCCAAATGGCATTCACATTCATATGGGCATTCACTTGCAGCACATTCACACGCCCCTGAGGCGCTGCTGTGGCAGGGCCTGCTCCTGGCTCCTGACCGATGCGGCAAAATTAATAATTTCGCATCAACACCCAATTGACCAAAGCGAGTCGTTGCATCTGACAACCAACTGATAATAAATTATATTTTATTTCTTTTAAATGTTAATGCCAATGATCATAATGATAATGGGCTTCCTTTCGTTCTTTAGGTGTTGCAGAGGCGGCCATTGTGTAAAGAGTTTGAGTCTGAAAAAGGATGGGAAAGGGTTTTGAAAATTCTAAGCTGCGTGCTCTGTTTGGCAAAGGTTAACCCTCTACGCCACTTTATCGATTTCAATGAACGAAAATTGCTGCATCTGAGCCGGCGCCCTCACGCTTGTGGGTAAATATTTATTCAAAACAAAAAACTATTTAGTCAACTTGACTTTTAGAATTAATGAGAATATTTTTTTTTTTCACTGCCTTATTCCTGGAAAATTCCTTGGGCTTATACATACTTAACAATTTCGTGTAATTTTGTTCGCCTGCGCGTTGTCAATCAACTAAAGCTACTAGTTTGGATATCGAACTGTCCCATGATGATAGGCAGTTATTCTCCAATATCCCGCTGATTGTTGATTGTATTATGTGCTGCGTAATAATTGGCAAATAAATTTATAATTGAATTGTATATGCAAGGTGGAAATTGCGTAAATGTGAAAATGGATACACATGTTTGGCCGAAAAGTAACTGCAACTGGCCAGATAATACCACACTATTTGTCATGCCCATCAATTGGGGCTTACACAATATACAGCCGCCCCCAAAACATTTTGTTAGACATCCAGCAACAGCAAAATAATGAGCACTGTTCAATATTTGATTCAGTAATTAAAATATGTTCGTGAATATATAGCATATAAATATATATGTATATATGTGTGTGCGCTGTATGCATAAATTGTAATTATTGTGTGCGTGATTTTTGGTCAAAATTCGTATCTGTTGGCTACATTTGACCCGCGTGGCACAGGTGTGGCCTTTGGCCTGGCATTATTTATATCAATTTGACAATGCAAGCAATCAATCAAACTGTTAATTAACTAACCGAACTGTTTATTTATATATATTTCATTTTTAATTAGTTAGTCTGGCAACGTAAAAGTGTTAAAAAAAATGGTAAAAATGGTTGCATGCAGCATGCGGTTTATTAGAGTGTTGCAGTGCGCTTTAATTGGATTTGTGATATTTGGATTATGCTTAACTGACAGAAATGATTAATTTAATTTAATATTAGAATAATTAATCTATTAATATAACCCATCAGCGATATTTAACTAATGCATTGAGATCAGTTTAATAGCATAAATAATTATTCTTTATTTATAACTAAATTAATCATAAAACTTTTCTAAGCATACAAGTCGTGTCCGAGGACATGTCTTGCAGTATGTCTAGTAGTGATGCGAAGGACTTGTCCGTATAAAGTGAAAGTGTAATAAAGGTAGCATGGAACGGTTTGTAGGGCATTTTCTGGTCGGCATTTGTACCTTTAGCCTATACTTAAACCAGATTCCTTTTACCTGAATAGCTGCATTTTAGATTAAATTGATCCTTTGTATCGTGTGCAGTGCAATCTATTTGTTAAAAAAATTCAATTTGAATTACAGACAATGCGAATTCAATTATGCAGCTGCCAATGCAACTCAAGCACATACACACACTCACACGCAGCACATTGCGAAGGGCTGCAATTTGTCTGCATGTCAAAAGTTCAAAAACTATGTCAATTGTCAATAAGCCAAAACGCAACTCACAATCTGAGCTCTTAACTTGGCCAAATGCCAGCTTGGCAGCGGGTTGGGGGGATAATGAAATGCACTTGGCCAGAGCGACAACTGCTAAAAAATTAAGTAGCCGCCTCGATTTATGACTTGCCTCTGGAACAAATCTTAAAACAACTAAGCAGTTTTCTGTGACAACTTGTACGTTTTTTCCTATGCAGCTCGAATATGCTCTTTCCGCAACGGGGTATATTGAGTTTTTTATTGAAAGTGTCTTCGAGCTTTTATGCGAATAAAAATTAAGTTTATTTAGTTTTCTACGTAAACTTGCAATTGCACTTGGTATAAAGCATCTCTCAGTCGGTGCTTGCTACTTTATTTTTTTTTTGCTTGAGCTTTGGCTTTGGCGCAGTTCTTGCGATTTGTCAGCTGGCGCAACGTGGCCAGCTGTCAGTGCAACTTGGCTTGCAACTTGGCTGCCAAAGAGCACAAACAAAAGTTGCTTTGCTTAGAATTTATCTACTGTCAGCTATCCGCCTGTCTGGCCCCCCTCCCTTCCTTTTGCTCCTCCCGCCACCTGCTTTGTTTGCTGTTCCTGCTGCTGACCATTAAAAAAGTTATGACAGTGTCCTTGTTGACTGCGTTACAATTTTCTCTCTCTTTGTTTGGCAACACAAAATACTTGGCCAACAGTTGTTGTTGTTCTTTATTTGAGCTATGGCACTAGCACCCGCGCCCCCGCCCTGTCTGGCATTTAATGTTGCAAGTTTTATGCATACACACTTGAGATTTATGTTGATCCCTCTTAAGCCGCGCCCCCTTCGATACAAACCCTCCCGCCCTTCCGTAATAAACGCTTTTATATGAAAAACGCCCTCGAACTCGCTCATTAGCCATGGCCAGCTACTTGCTTAAAATGGGGGCCAAGAAGAAGCGAAGAGAACCAGTTATGGCGAATGATGTGACATGATTGCAGACAGATTGCGATATACGACTGTGTGCAACAAACTACTGCTGCTGCGGCTGCATGTGGCATGCTGCAACTGGCACATAAAACACAGGCCATACAAGTTGTCAGCTAGTTGGCAGCTGCACGGAAACATTTGCTTCCTTAAACAGCCAAGACTCTCAAGACCAACTCGCAAGACCCACTCCAAGTCCAAGTCCAATGCCAATGCCAATGGCTTAAAATATGGTCAATGGAATTTTTATAGATTTTCCTTAAGCACACACAGACAACAACAAAAACAAAAAAATAACAAAACAAAAAGGAAAAACAGTGCGCAACAAAATTAAATGCATTTCATAATTTTCAAGCGGCCAAGTAAAAGTCTGGCTAACTCTGCCACTGCTTCTGGCCGTTTTCCAGCTAGGGGCAAGCCGTTGGCCATTGCCCGGTTTTATGGCTGCGGCAAGTGCAACATTGTCTGTCTGTTAACTTATTGACACCCATATTTGGATTGAATCATTAAAGCCAGTTCCAGCTCGAACCACACTCGAGTGCTGGCTAAACTGAGTTCAGCCCCAGCCGCCCCTCCAGGCCGTTTAGCCTTTGTTTATTTGGCTATTGTTTTAACCGGCCAGCGTTGACTGTAAGCTAGACAAATTTTATTGGTTTACGCACGCGCATTGACGTTGACAATGTGACCTTGTCAGCCTAAGTGACAAGCTGGCAAAGCTGTTATCATAAGTATTCCGGCAAGCATTGGGTTAGCCTAGATACCAATCGATTAAGCCAGCGCACTTATCGAGAAAGGACTGTGAACTGAACTAGCCAATGGGAGTGTTTAAACTGGGAGCTTACGGGAACTAGTTATGAAAGTTACTTAAGGAAATCAATTTAAGTAAACTAGTTCAGCTTAATAGTTCGAAAAGTATTTGATCATAGGGTTAGCCTAGATACCAAGCGATTATGCCAGCGCACTTTTCGAGAAAGGACTTAAACCAAATCTTATGTCTAGCGACGATGAAAAGCCTTTTGAACATTAAAAAGTTCTTTGGAACGTATTTTATTGATGATTTTATTTTTATTCTTAATGTCTCACAAAAACCTGTGAAAATTGATATTAATCATACTTTGATCACTAAGAAGCTTTTTGTAACGACTTTTATTAATTAATCGCTATTTATTCCGAAGGTCTCAGAAAAGCTTGTGAAAATCGATAGTTCGATATACGCCAATTTTAACATGTCCATTAAGAATCTCTTTGGGCTTATTTCTTTGATAATTCGAATTTTATTCTTCACATCTCACAAAAGCATATAAAATATCGATAGTAATCGATAGGTCAATATACCTAACCAGTTCATTGAATTGTGTCTAATAAGGTGCCAAACACTCATGCATATTTGTTTATAAAATCCCTCTCTAATAAGCCACTTAATTTGCGTGTCAATTTCCCAAAACACACACACATTCACACGGACAGATATTCGCTTAGTTGGCACACCTGTGTGAATGGCAATCACACCTATCTAATAACTTCATTACCCAATCAATCAAACTGACAACACGAATCGCAATCATTATAATAACTCATCAAATCAAATCAACTGCACACGTGAGTAGCTGCCCACAGCTCATAAACAACAACAACAAGCGGGCGATAAAAAAAAAGAGAAGAAAAACACTCAAAACGAAGGTTTCAGCCGAACGACACGAGTGCAAATGCAAATGCGAATGCGAATGCGAATGCCAAATGCATTCGGCTCAATTTACCGAAAGCCCGCTGCGTGAAGCTTCCAAAAGCACCGCAAGCTTCCGACACGACGCACGAGCGTCTGCTCGACTCACACGCTCACTCGTGAGTGAAGTATGTGTGGCAGGGGGTGGGTGGTGCGACGGCCAATGGGCAGCAGCAGCATGTGTGGGAAAAAAGCTTTTATGAGTGTGAGTTAATTTTGCGTACTGTGCATGCACATAAGCTCATTTCCGCACGTTAGCTCTCCCACACGTGCTCACACTCGCTCACTTTCTCTCTCACTCTCTTTTTGAGGTGAGGCGTCTGTCAAAAAGATACCGGATGCCGGAAATTGGGTTACAAAATGCATTTCTCGTGTGCGCCGACATTTCCGTTTGCTAACAGTGCCACAACAGAGCACAACTGGACCAGGCCAAGACACATGCGTTGCCTGCATGCCTACACACACGTGTGTACAACGGTGAATGCACACACACGCACACATGAGAGCTTCGGCTCACTCTGACTAACAGTTGGGTTCTTGTCCAGGCTAAGGCGCGCTTGCAAATGCATTTTGAAAACAGTGCAAGGCGCCAACATCAGCTCCCAACTTGGTAAATTCCAATTGGCAAATTAATCAATTTTGAACTTGTGTATTAAAATAAACACTTGCATGTTCTAGTTGTTGCAACAACTGAAGAATGTTGACAAGGATAAAGATGAGTATTAGCTTAAGTATGAGTGGGGACACTCACGGACTTGGTTGCGGCCTTTAGCGCCACAAAGCGGAAGCAAATTGAATACTCGGCTAAATTGTGTGACAAATTGTTGCAGGGGGTCAGAGCGGGTGTATGGCTGCTACAACATTAAGGGTTGCATGTTAACTTTGTGCATATTTTATGCAGACAAAATCCTGGCAGTGCAATCCTGAGAGTAAAGCGTAATGAGCTGAAGAAGAAAATTAACTGAAATGGAGTCAGGATAATGCTTAACAGTATATTGGATCAAAATCTTCTCTTGTAGTGGCAAAAATGTTTAACAAGTGACAAGTATTACATCTCTCTGATAGTCTCTGAGATTGTTCAGATGGGTTAAATCAACTAATATTATTATTATTTTTGTTTTGATGATTTTGTGAAATAGATGATTTAAAGCCTAGTACTTTATGATTAAATAATTAAAATTTGTATTTTGTTCAGTATATTGATTTAACTCACATTGCAATTTAAACATCTTTTTTTGTTAAATATATGACTCATATAATTTTGAATAATTTTTGAACAGCCTAATTAGAAAAAAATAAAGTATTTATATTTTTTTTTAATTTATAATTTTAATAATAATAATTTCAAAATAAATAAGTACTTTTTGTAAATGAGTTAAATTAAACCCTTTTTAATAAATAAGGAAATATATATACTATGAAATATAAATGTTTATCTTTTCAAGCTTTTAATTAACTTATCTACACATGAATTCTTCTCCCAGCTGTCCAAATATCTAGCCCTTATATAATTGAAAACTATTTGTTTATCATAAATCTTAATTGCTAACTACTTAATTGCGCAGATCAAAGCGTGGTCTACGTGTGGCTGTATGTGTCTGCCTATGGACAAAGTTATCCGATTTATAGCGCAAATATAGACAGAGGCATCAGCATCAAAAGCATGAAGCATCCACTGAACAACATCATATGATGGTGTTTGCCCAGCCAAAGGGTAAAAGGGGTTGCTGCCTGCCAAATGTAGATGCAACAGATGCCAAATAGCAACGCCGTCAGCTAGTCCAGAATTCGCAGAATGTCCCGAAGTTTTTCGCCAGTGTGTGTGTATGTGTTTGTGTGTGTGTGTGTGGGGCCCTTAAGTAGTTTCATGTAATTTAAATATAAATACTCATTTAATTAGCAATGCTTCTCTGAGACAGCGTTAAGGCCAGAACCTTTGATCTCTAGCGAATGTGTAAATATTTGACATTAATTACAAGTTGAATTCAGTTCCGCCCCACAAAACTGGCGCCCCGGCGTCTGCTTTAGTGGCCTTCATGCTGCTCGCAAATAACTGGCAAATTTATTTAATATTCACTTATAAAGCGGAAAGCAACCCGTAATATCCTCGCCTTTGTTGCTGTTGTTGTTGTTGTCAACGGTGGCAAATTACTTAAGCGCTTATTTGTCAACTACAATATGGCAAGGGCTGCATACACACACAGACACACACATACACACATGCAGGTCGTATATTATGTACATAGGCAGCAGAAACTCATTAATAGCAAGTGCGCCCCAGTTCGTAACCCATCACAGCCGGCATCAATTATTCAGGCGGCACGCGACGTCTGCCGAAAAATGGCCGCGAGCAAAAATGGCGTCGGCGCATTTCCGTCGCACACTTGGGAAATTAAACGCTTGCGTGTGTGCGTGTGTTTGCGTGTGTGTGCGTGGGGGGTGGGAGTGCCTAGCATGTAAATAAGTAACATAAAATACCTTAATCTTTTCCACTGTCCACACACTAACACACTCACACAACATAACAAAAATAAATAAAGGACATAATACTAAGTAGAATCAGCTCGTAAACTAAATGCTCTTATGTAATACCTTAAATTACTTTGATAATATATACTTGTTCTATAAAAATGTGTAGCTAATTCAAAACATATTTTTCTTCCACAGGTTTTGAATCTGACATAAAATAACAATTCTGTGTCCTCCGTCATGTAAGTACTATAAATAAATCAATTCATGATCCATAAAAAAGAGAGAAATATTAAATATCATTAGGAACATATCTTATATAATTTTCACGAAATATTTATATTAAAGTCTTTAAAATTCTTCTGTCCTTAAGTTTTTTTCCAATATTTATTTATTTTGCTTTTTGTCACATTTTGAAATTGAATTTATTTCCATATACTATTTCCCACCGTTTTAAGCTTCAAAGAAGTTTTGCGATGACAACGCGTCGCAGCTGAAGAAAGTTGGCTCTGTATGCCCTGTGGAGAGTTCGTGTGCCTGGCCATGGAAATGTTTTTGGCCCTGGCTAAATTCTCAATGGCATAATTCATTCATTTGGCAAACAGAGTCAACAGCTGCATTGTTAAACAACTTTAATTATAAATAATTATGTAAGGTCGTCACAGTGGGCGAACTGCATTCGGTTGCACTTGTGCAAGGTCCATGAATTTGGATAACTTGCGCCCTAGCCGCACGCCCGCCCCTTTTGCTGCATTTGCTATTAATGATGAGTAATGTGTCAGTAAATATTTGTTAATTAAATTAGTTTTGTGGCTCAGCTGCTGTTGGCAAAGTGTGAAATGCATTGCATGCTTACGCATTGGCTTCGGCTTCGAGGTGCCATTTCAATTGGATTTCAATTTGGCCTAACATGTCAAGAGCGAATGCAATTATACGTAGCACACATTTCCAACTGTCCATGAAATGTTGAAATGTGCAAACAAAAGACCAGATTAATAGAGTTAAGTTGTGGGCTACGAAGTGGGAGGGGGTGTGCTTATCAAGAGTTGATAAATCTAAATTTCACTTGAAGTTAAATTTCTGATAGTTTACCATAGTTAGGAATATCAAATATTTATATTGTAAAATATGAGTAAAAAGTTATCAATCAACTGCCCTATACCCATAGTAGGTTAAATGTTAGGTGCTGCTATCTAACAGGATCTACCAGGTTTAGGGAAATATTCCGAAACTATAAATGGAAAAATTTTAAGGTTTATCTTGCTGATTGATTGCATTCAATTATTCTTTTTCTTTTTTTTTGTAAAATGTTACTAATTGAACTCATCGTTAATTATTTGCGTAATGGAAAAAATCCCAGCCAAGCCTGGAATTTTATCCTGAGCGTTATCCTTTGGATAAATCATTCACGAGACTCCTTAATATCCATCCTAACTAACCGAAACGATAGCACGTTGGCTCTAAATAAGTACTATTTCTCAATGAAAACGGATCTCAAATCTCCTCAACTTTATGCTGCGGATAACTAAACGAACCTCTTTGTTTCTTGATCTATCCTAACTAACTGGACCGATGCCAGTCTAGTTCTGATTACTGTTCGTCAAGGAAACTGCCCAAAGTTGCTGCTGTAATAAATCCCAACCAAGCCTGGAACCTTATCGTCAGCAATATCCTGCAAACCTCCTTATATTTAGCTTTTTCCTAACTAACTGAGCCGAAACCACTTTGTTGCTCAATGCTGTTCGCTAAGGAAAACGCTAACAGCTGCTGCTGCTCATTTATTCCATGTGCAGCGTCTGTCGTGGCATTGGGTTTGGTCTTTCACTCGCGTCATGTTTGGCCAAAAATTTACATTGGCCATTTGCCGCTAAACATGCACTAAATTGAGCGCCCGACATGGCCAAGAGCTGCACATGGGATGTTTAGTGTGAGCTGAGCGAGCTGCATCTATGTTGGGCTGCCGCCTTTAGGTTAGCCGGAGGCTTCCTTTGGCTGCCTGTCAATTAATTTACGCGCACTTGGCCAATGATGCTTATCGGGCTATCTGAGTGGCTTAGCGGTTTACCGGCTTACCGGAGAGCCCATATGGCATCCATATCGCATTTTCATTATTACGAGCGTATTCTGTTGGCCTAACGGCAGCAGCGGGAGCAACTCTTGTGGCGCTCCCTTGACGTTGGCAACATTTTCAATTAATTAGCCGCCGCCTGGCCAAAAGGCTTGGCAAACCATTTTTGACAGCATCAACCGAAAAAAAGAAGAAAATAACCTACCAAAATAAAAAAAAAGAGAAGAAAATGAAACAAAAAACTCTGTTAACATTTCGGTAGTGGCAGTTAGGTACCCATTACCATTAACCGAGTTGCCCAACGCGCCGGCTTTTTCCTCCAACTCTTATCTGCGCTGCACACAATGACAACAACAATAAGTAAGCAGAGACCCTAGACGAGTGTGTCTGACTTGCAGATACCCTGTTTTGTGCTCCATGTTTGGCAAAGCGTTTGTGTTCTTGCTGGTTCGATTTGATTTGTTAGCAGCGGGAAGATATTCAAAATTTGTGGAATAAATTTGACATTTATAGGGTATGTACTAGTCGCGTTGTTCGTGCAAGTCATAAATGTAGGTGGTATATGTTAATATAATTCTAATTTTATAATATATAATAGTAGTAATTTTCAAATAAATATATCAGTTATAAAAACAATGATACATAATTGTAACAAAATATATTTGAAATTTTTATTATTATTATTATCATTATTAATATTCTTGTCTTTATTATTACTATATTAATTATTAATATTATTATTATTATTATTATAAATTTTATCAATTTTATTATTATTATTATCATGATTTTCATTACTAACCTTATTATAAGACGGCAAAAACATATATTTTTCAATATAATTGAATTATTATTGACAACATAATAATAGTTATAAGCCAAAAGTATCATTTCCGATTATGAGGAGTTTAATTACATTAAACGTTATTGGTTTATCAATAAATAATAATTATAATAATAGACAATTATAATTACAATAATATAAATTACAACAATAAATAAATGGAGTGAGCTATTACTTAACATATTTATATACGGAAATACACATCCTTTATCTGGCTTCATGATACTCTTTTTGTTTAAACAATTTCAAATTGTTACAGGGTATAACAACGACGACAATTTATTGACAAGACAATGGCGCTCAACGTATGTAATTAATCTCGACATAATCTGAGTTGATAATTTTTCGCCGCTCGTTGTTTGTTGTTTGCTGGTTGTTGGTTTGTTGTTGCTGCTGCTGCTGCCGCCGCTTGTTGGTTGTCGGTCTATTTTGGCTGCCTCTGCTGCCACGGCTGGGCTGCTCGGTTTGGTCATGTGCTTTTATAGCCGTGTCAGCTTTATGAACTGCATGCCTTCAAAGCATTGCCTGCCACCCGGTCCTAGGGACAGCAGCGGATCCTTTTAAGGCGCATCCCCCTATACCCATTGCTGGCCTTTTTCAATTAAGCAAAATGCCAGAGATGCTCATAAAGTTGCGCAGCTTTTCTGCTTCTAGTTGTGCCTCCTTCCAATCCTCCTTTTTTTCTGGTTTTGTTTTGTTGGTTTTATAGAGCTCAAATGCGGTCTGGGCCTGGCCTACATTTTCTGAGCACTCGTCATTAATTTTACAGCAAAATGTGTTCTTTTTTATGTCCCTTTTCAGTGTTTGTGTGTGTGAGTGTGTATGTGTGTGTAAGCGTTTGTGTTTGTGAGAAAGTTGCATCTCTCTAGCTGCTGTTGTTGCTTTTGTTATCTGGCAGTTTGCATATCAAAAATTCAACATGAATTGTTTTAATGCACGCGGATCTCGTTGCGTTTGCTCTACCAACAGCTGCAACAATGAATTTGCATTAATGATGAGCCGCTGAAGCTGCCACACACACACACACACACACAACCACACACCCACAAAGTAACTCACACTCACCCAGTTTAACCTTGAGCACATTCTGAACTTTGCCCGCAGCGTAAAACAATGAAACTATGCAAAAGTTTTTTGTGTACCCTATAGCAATAAAATATAATAAAAAGAGGGTATCATAAAGTGTTGTTAAAAACATAAACACAGAAATATTCTTGCTTAACAAGTCTTGCAGCAGCCAAAGGAATCTGTTTAATCTATAAACTCACAAGCTCTGAAACATAATCACACGAGAATATTCACATATTCTACTCAAGGGGTATCTTCTGGTCGTGCACACGCAACATTAACTTTTTTGTTTGTTTGTTTGTGAAAACCGAAAATGGCACAAAGTTGCTGCCCGGTTGGGCAATTTGCCATATTTCAGTCTATCTGCATATTTGAGCTGCGCTGGGCGAAAGTGAATTTACGATCCATAATACTAAACTTTGAAATGGAATTGTTTGGGATTGGATTGAAGTTGACGGGGTTGGCGTAGAGTGCACCATGTAGGCACTATCCGGCCACACCCCCCACGCCCAAAGCAGGTACTCATAATGTCAAGCGGCGTTTTGACAGCTCATCAAATCGTTGATTGCCATTTAATAGCTGCGGTTAAATATCTGTAATCGATATATGACTCTCTGCGTCAAGCTCTTAAAATTAATGGAAAAGCCAGGCAATTGCAAAATGCCAAATGATGCGAGACTTGGCAAATGTTTTCCTAGTGGGCTCAGCCAAAACTCAGCTGGCATCCTATTGCCAAATATCCAAAGCAACAAAGTTGCTTAATGTCAAGTATTTGGTAATTTAAATGATAGTTGGAATGGCTTTCGATAGCACCCTCTGGTATATATGGTATTAGCGTATGTTTTGCAGAATTTCTGCATTTAAAGGCAGTATACAGTACATAGTTCTTTCAGCTAGAAATTCATTTTAATACAAACATTTAAGGCTTTACATTTTAGCAAATAATTCAATTTTCAAATAAATTCTAAAGTCGACTTTAGCCCAATTTAAACAAACCATTTTCTTGCACACATTTAATTTTAAATCTTATTGTTTTTATTTGATTTTAACTCAATATATTTCAACTAAAATTTATTTCTCTAACGAAATGTTAAAGTTTTCTTTCGCAATTTACTGAACTTCTTTTGTGCCAATGTGATTTGATTTGCGTTTAATGAAATGTCAGCTTCGATTTTCTATTCTCTAGTTTCAATTGATATTTTTCGGCTAAATATTGCTGGCATTTTAAGTAAATTGTCAAGCTATGCAAATATTTTCTACATTTAATGTGCAGCTGAAAAGCTGATCAGGGAAATTGATTTGAAATTAGAAAGCCGAAGCTTAAATGCGCTTTAAAACTGAACTTTTTTTTCGCATATAATACATATAATCTGCGTAAATTTTAAAATTACATTTTATTTTATTTATTACAATTTGTTTAGTTTTTTACTACACAAGCTGCAGATCAGGAATTACATTTTTTTTTAGATCGTTAGGCATGATTGTAATGCCCGATCAGTTAGGGTATTTTGACTCTTGCTGCTGCTTAGCGCATTTGTAATATATGCAAAGTGTTGTTACACAATTTTTGCAGCACTGTTGCCACTGAAATACATTGACCAATAACAAGAATCACAGCCACAACTACAATTTCGGTACTATTGATTATTTTTTTTTCTAAACGCCGCATTTATTTATTACAAGCACATTAAACCGAAAATGTCACGACATTAATTCTGTAAATGCGATTAATAAACGTCAGCATAATGTCATTGTTTGCAAATGCCCCATGGAAGCAATTGCTGTGGTTGTTGTTGTTGTTGCTGTTGCTGTTGGGGCAGCCATTATGTGCAAGCCATTGACCACAAGTCAAGTCGGCGGCAGACAACTAGACAGCAACAGCAGCAGCAGCAGCAGCGCAAACATGATTTACACCCGTCCATTGTCATATTGTCTAGTCGAAAAGTCAACTACGAATACTCTCAGAACAACAACAACAACATCAACCACCATACTGCAAGGTGCTGTGCGTGCTGTGCTTTAAACGACCCACATTTATGTTCACGGTTAAATCTGGCCAAAAGGCCAAAATTTATAATTCTGATAAGACCCTTTGCCACGGCTTCTCCAATGGGACTATTATGACATTTCCACCGAGGAAGCTTGGATACTGTGAAAAATGTGAAAAGTCTTAAATGATTTTTCGTATAGATCTTTGGAAATAAATTTGAACACGAAACGTCACCAATCAATCAGTCAGTCAGTCAGTAAGTCAGTCAGAACAAAAACTATTTGTATGTATAGAGATTTTTTGCTTAATAAAATTGAGCAGCAGGATATCTTGTAGCGAATTATCATCAAAACTGCCCCCTTTTTCTTGCGATTTCCATGTTAACCTTTACAAAATGCTCAAACATTGATTGAAAGTTCTTAAAAACACACGCGCCACATTGTTCTCCAAGTTTCTCAACTTGCAAATTTGAGAGCTGTTCGTTAATTTGATAAATTATTATCAAATTCACGTTTGGAACTTTAGTTTAATCTACATGCTGATTCATTTTCGATTAAAGATTCTGATGCAGGAAATGCTGCAGCGGCTATAAAAATTGAAATATTACAAAAAAGTAGAATGTTAAAAAATAAACACCTTTATAAAATGCTATGATGGGCAAAGATCTAGTACTGTCAAAGCATGGTCGAGTACATGGTTGGAATGTGAGCTTATTCAAAGCAACTAACCATGATATAGTTTCCCCATCTGATTCTTGGCCAACTGGAACTTATGACACATTAATGATTAAGCGAATGGAAATTAAAAAACCTCGCAGACTGCAAATTGCAAGTCGGCAGCTGTGAGAGTTAAGGTGAGTTGAGGCGTTGTCCATGGCCGAAGGCACCCAAAAGGCGGCTCAAATGGGTTGGGTGGAGGGGGCAGGCGGACCTTGAAATGTCGCACACATAAACGAAACGCAGCGAAACGGTTTCCAGGCCACAAATCGGTTTGGCAGCCGGGCGCATGCAAAAAGCCAATCTTGATTACAATCAGTCCGACAGTCAATGGGAGCAGCGCAGATGCAAACGCTGATGGTGCTGCGGAGTGGTGGAAAAGGGGGTTGGCGTTGCGGCAGAGCGTTGCACGTTGCATGTTACTAGGCGATAAAGATCAAATGAGGAATGAATGTCGCCGACGCAGCCTCCGCGCTGCCACACTGCTTGCTGCCTGCTGCCGGCCTAGTTGCATGTTGCGTAGATATTTGCATTTTGCGGGCGGTCTCCGGCTGACAAGATTTGTGGCAGCACCATTGCAACAAGCGGCTGCTGCAATCAGTAAATGGTTAATACCTACACTCAACTCTGTTCAGAGTTCGAAGCAAGTGTTATCTGCAGTCAGCTGCTTGCAACGCAGCTCTTGGCTCTGCCAGTCCGCATTATTAATAATCGAATGCGTTCTGAAAGAAACGCAAACAAGAATTGTTAATAAATCTCAAGCTTAAGTTTAAAATTTGTATTTTATTTTTAAATTGCCATTTATTTTTTCTCCAATTTATTATAAAATAAATAACATTACTAGGTAATTTTAATTATGTTATAAATAAACAATTAGTTAGGTAAATCATTTATAAATTATTGTATAGGAGTATTTAAATGTTATGTTTACTTCATTTAGTTGCTTTTTTTTATAATATTAAAATAATATTGTGTTCGATGCAGTGTTGATTAAGTCTAATTGATTTGATACAGCTTATTTCTTACCATTAATTATGTTATAAATAAACAATTAGTTAGGTAAATCATTTATAAATTATTGTATACTCGTATTTAAATGTTATGTTTACTTCATTTAGTTGCTTTTTTTTATAATATTAAAATAATATTGTGTTCGATGCAGTGTTGATTAAGTCTAATTGATTTGATACAGCTTATTTCTTACCATTTAAGCAGGCAGTTCAAAACACTAGTATTTAATTGGATAACATATATTTATTTTGCACAAACTGACCTGTATTTTGAACTGCTTGTATATATACATATACATATGTTTTACATTATATCAATTTTTTCCTACTTATTTATTTTTTTGTTAACTTCAATTTTAAAGAGATTCCATCACAGAGTCTCTGCGAATTTTAAGTAGTAACTACCCTCAAATATTGTTTTTTTTAGTGTAGCCATTTGACAATTAAAAATGTGAATAGAAAGAAGGAGTGTAAACGCTCAGAAGGCTCAATCAAAGGCATTAGTGGTAAAAAAAAGCAGTATAAAATACTAGCTATAAGCATTTTTGGTATTTATTCTATAAAAATACTAGCCAGTATGTTTGCGCTCAATCAGCAGAAAATACTAGTGAGCTGGTATTTTCTCTATTCAAAAGTCCTTAGCCATAAACAAGCTAAGCTAGCAGCAGTCGCAGCTCAAATGGTAATAAAAATAAAATTAAGTATTTCTGCAGCGATCAGCAATTGATTTGGTGTATCTCTGCCTTCATTTGATGTACCTACAACTAATTGACAGCTTCCAGTGCGACGGTCTCTTGCTGACTGTTTGGGCCATTGCGAATGCTGTTTACAGAATTTCGTGATATGTCACGTGGCTGAGCTGCATAAAAATGCTGCAGCCATAAAACCGGCCCACGTCTTCAGCTAAGCCACAATTATTTTCGGTTTTGCAGATTGGAAGGGGGGGGGGGGGGGGAGGAGGTAAGGAGGAGACCATGTGATTGGCTTTGCGGAACCGAACGAGACTGTAAATTATTTTTGCTCGAGTGTGCAAATTAATTTCAACTAACTGACTGACTGCCTGCCTGGCTGTCTCTCTGACTGGAACTACATTCGGTTACTCGCAGTGCCTGGCGGTATCAATTATGTGTGTTTTATGAGCGGTGCCCACACTGCAGCGGTCGTTGTCGCCGCCAAGGCAACTTGGGCATTTGGCAAGTTAGAAAAAACCCGTCACTTCACCAGTTTTGGCCAAATTTGGCTATCAATTTTGTGTGTTCGCCGTTCTCCAGTGCCGTTGACATTTTGGCCAAGTTGTTAGTTGGCTGCTGACGCGTGCCTTGGCTAACAGCAATTAGCATTTTGTTAACATGGCCCAAAGCACACGCACACACACACACACACTCAGACACACACACACACACATATAACGTTGCTTGCTCTTGGCCACCATGCGCCGCTGCACTCTGGGCCTGAACTATGACACGGCATAAATCAAAAAGCGGCTCCGGCCCATTGTAAGTCGTCTAACAGCCGTTCAGACAAAGATGCGCCAGAAAGTTTCTCTGTTCGATTTGGCTTGACTAAACTGGCAGTAGGTTTGGCTTTCACGCTGCCTCTCAGCGGCACACCTGAGCTCTGGCAACTCTACACTGACAACTAGACGCCGACTGTGGCAACACATCAACAGCTCTGCTAACTAAATCAACATCCAACAAAACAATGGACTGCTCACACACACACTCATACACAGCTCGAGAGCCGCGAAAATTAAAGTTAATCGAATGCTTTGACCTTTTCACACAGCCACACAGAGTGCAGGTAGGCATGGCCAGCCCTTCTCCAACTGCATCGCATTCGATTTGCAATTTCAGATAAACAAAACAACAACACAAAAGACACGAGAAAAACAGATCTCAGAACACTGCAAGCACACGGGCAATGCCAAGCAGGCGAATACCCTGTATTTTAAGGTGTTTCGCAAAAGTTTGAAGACTCGCACAAAACACTTAAATGTTTCAAAAACATTCATTTAAAGTATCATAAATATAGCCTGCAACTTTAGGGTAAACGTCGTTAAGTCCTGTATATCCTATTTTCCAGCACTTAGGCAAAACATTAGCTCAAACAACAAAATAAATGTTCTAAAAACTTGGCTCGAAGCAGGCTCTAAATTAACCTTAATTAAATTTGTCATATCTGAGGTTTTTAATCAAACAAATGCTTCATGTTTTATGCTGAGCATGTCTTTTTGTGTGTGTGTGTGTGTGTGTGTGTGGGCACTCGCTAATGTCAGCGACGACATGACAACAAAATGTGACCAAAGCGAAAAAACGAAATCTATGTTAGAACACAAACGATTAAAATCATTTTAGCCCCCGTTAAGCACACCTAATTGCTGGACAACCATCAGACAGCTAATTGAAAAGCCGCCCGGTACAATGTTTCTCTGTATATATAGATAGATATATATATTTTTGCGGTATTTTTTAGTCTCTTACATTTTCAAGGCCCGCTCTTGACTAATTTTCTGTGCTCAGTTTTTTTTACGATTGTTTTTTCTGCACAATTATTTTAATTTTTTTTTATTTATTTGCTTTTGGGTGTGGCGGCAATGCGACACGTTTTATTTCTAGTGGCTGCCAAATGCATTTGCTGAGCTTGCAAAACCGCAAGACTCCGCTCGAGTCGGGACCCATAAATAGGGGCGTGTGCGCCCGGTTTTATGGCAATCAAATGCGTTGTTTAATTCGAATTGACTTTTTGAACTTGCCGTGAAACTTCGTGTCGCAAGTGGGAGCCAGTGTTGCAAGTGGAGCACGTGCCCGATTCTCTGGCGATCAGAATTTATAAATGACTTAAATGGGACTTTTGATTGACTTCCGATGTAATTGGCAAACAAATAACTCATATAGATCGGTTTTGAATAAGTCTTAGATTAGTATAGCGCTTTTACAGATATTTAAAGAACATCTTAACAGCATATGTACATAAATATTCAATAACTAAAAATCTTCAACAATTTGACTCAAGCGGAGTTAAGATCAATATAATTATCTTCTGGATCTTTTAGTTTAATATTACTACATTGGTTTTTACTCACTTCATACGTTTTTTTCTCATGGATACAATGATATGTTTTTCTTATTACACTCAACAAGATAATACGCACGTCTCTTCACTTCGGAAGCTCGAACCCGACTCTATTCTCTACTTTCGTATGCTCCTGTTAGCATCCCTTCTGTTACATAACATGTGTCTAACATTTTATCGGCCGCTACAGGCTCTTATGGCACTTACAGGCACTTATGTTCATATTGTTGTTAACTACTTGAGGACAGGCCGTGCGCTACGCAATGATCCAATTCAGAGACATAGTCGAACAGTGATCGACTATGATCGACTAGATGTATTCTTGATATTTAGTATATAAAGATTCCATATTACCTTTAGCCTGGCAGTTGTATTTAAGAGCTGCTTGAGGGTCAACAAGTTCCGTTTCTTCGTCATCAGCCTAAACCACGGGCAAGACCAACATATTTCCAAAATGACATTTTAGACGCTCAACTCACTGTTGTGAGGCAATCTGCATGGACATTTTATGTTGGCCTGCTCTAAATCTTGAATTTTGTGTGCTTTAATTAAAACACCCTGGATACATTTTCAAAGATTTCAATATTTAATTTTGATTTAATACATATTTTTAAATATTTATATTTCTATACATGCATAAAACAATTTTTCTAAACGATTGCAACTACTTTTCCCTTGCCTGGTTTAGGTCTTGCTTTTTCAATATTTTTGATATTGAATATGAAAACTAGTTAACACAGATTTGTTTATTGAATGCATTCGCCCATTTCTAATGAAGCTTTCGAAGTACTTTGTCAGAGTATTTCAATAAAAATAAAATGCTATAAATTTGTTGAAAGTTTGCAATTGATAGTTGTATCATAAACCAACGCCGACTCGCTTTTAAAACTATTGCACAAAAAAAAAAAAAAAAACAAAAAATAGAAAAAACAAAAGGCTTGTGCACACAACCCTGCCACAGTCCTCCCCCTGAAAACAAACGCCCTCTGGATGCAGACAAGCTAACAAATGCAATTCAGAGGCGGTTCGGACACAAGGCAGGAAGCAAAAACAAGTTGCATGGGGGACGGCCTGGGCGTGGCATCGAAGCGATTTGTGAAGTGTGCAGTTTAGGAGGGTGAGGCGGGGAGGGGAGGGGGAGAGGGTTGTGCCAAACTTTGTGGCATAAACTTTTAATGAGTTCTTTTTATATTTGCGATTTGCATGGCCACGCCCCCCATTTGTCACACAAATGAAATCTGCTAGAGCGAAATTGCATTAAAGTTGCCATCGTTGTTGTTGTTGTTGTTGTTGCTGTTACTGTTGTTGTTGCTGCCACTTGTAAATTATTCACCCACCGCGACCCACTTCAATGACATTGCCTACTTCGGCGCAAAGTTTTGGTCAAAGCGGCCACCCTCCAGTCTCCCCCCGGCTCAATGATGAGCGCAAAACAAAAATTGCGAAATAAAATAAATAAATATGCCTGGGCGCAAAAACTTTTAAATTGAAAATGCGCTTTGAATATTTCAGCGTTTTGCAATTCGCATTTTCCAGCACTTCCTGTCCGCCATCTTGTGCGCCATTGCACTTGGCTAACTGCTAACTGTACTTGTGCTCATCTTTCGCCGTCTTCGCCGGCTTTCGGCACAAGGCGAAAATAATTTGAAATTTTAATTAAAAGTATTTCGGCAAAAGTTGCGGCGCTGCCGGCGGCGCTGTTTTCTATCAGCAGACACAAATACGACAAAATCAAAAAACATCCAAGACAAAAATTAAATAAAATTCCACACAAAAATAGGGAAAACTATTTCCGGCTATTTCATTTGCCCCCCGCTCGCTCCCGCGCTTGCTCTATCGCTGGCATCGCTTGTCTTCAATTTTAATATTGCCGCCAAAGGCAAAAATGCGCACTTGAACAAAACGCCGGAGACGAAAATCCGGACATGTTGCAGCTTGCAATTGTAGCCAATGTGACAAGTGTCGCTTACTATGTAGTGTATGTGCGAGTGTGCGTGTGCAAGTGTGTGTGTGCGAGTGTGTGTGCCTTTTAGTTAGTTTGGATATGCGTTCACATTTATCAAGATATTTTTATAAAATTATCTGAAGTGTTTGCTAAAGTATTTAAGGAAGATGTTACTGTATAATTAAATTCTTAAATTGTTTTAGAAAATATTTAAATTGAATATAATAGTAAATGCAATAAAATATAATATAATAAAATGTAACAGTCAAAAGACGTTTTTCAGGATGACCCACGTTAGCCTCCACATATTTGTAGAGTATATTTTAAACAATAGACAACTCTAGCAAGTGAACTGAGCAGCCCAATAATTGTATTGCTTTTACAATGAAATGTTATTGATCGCGAATTCCGCGTACGCATAAACGTAAGCTTGTACTGATGCACTTCTTTGCATGCGTATATGCTAGAAAGTATTGCCACAAGCTTTTTTCTTTTCTAGCTGTAATTAAACCTTAGTAGCTGCCGAAGCAAAAAGGAAGGAAACCTTAAGGCAGTCACAGACGAAGATGGAGACAGAGACGGAGCTCTTAGCACAAGAAAGAAAGAAACTTTATTAATAAAAGTTTTTCCTTTGGTATTTTAGCCAAGTATTATTAAAAACTTTCATATACGTAACGTTGGCAATTCAACATGCCCACTAACACACTCATACACACACATACACTCACATAGGCGCACACACACGCGACGCATAAGTCGACGGCTGCTCATATATTCAGGCATTAAATTGCGAGGTCCTTTTTATGCATGTGACAATATTTGTTGCAGTTGTTTTTGTTTTTATTAATTTTGTTGGCATAGCATTCCGCCTCTTCTCCTTTTTTATCGTGTGTGGAAAAGCATTCGCACAATTTTCGCCTGCAGCCCGTACACAAGAGACAACAGCTCTTTTCTCCAACCCTTAGCATAATTGGCTCAAATAATAAAATTATGGAGGTCCCTCACGCTCCCTTCAGACGTGACAAGCTTGCAGTGGAATATATTTGTAGGCTTGATTGTGTGGGCTCTGAAGTTTACTGTACATACATATATTACTCGAAGAAATTACCCGTCCTTGCCCGGGGCAAACACCCCATCAACCGTCTATGAGTACTTCCCTTTTATTTTATTTAGTTTAATATTTTTTATTATTGTTGATTGAGAGTAATTACTAAAACAGCTAGTTATAATTTTAATAAACAAATATAAAGATTTTAAATTTTCGCTGGGTTTAAGCCGCCGACCTTCCGCTGGATTGTCCGACGCTCATACCAAAGAACGTAGGCTAATAACAAATATATATTAAGATAAATCCTAATCTAGGACTAAGTTATCTATTCACATATCGATCTGATGAAACTAGCGTAACATTTAATATCAGTATACTTTGCAGGGTATCTTCGAATCAGCGGCTTTGTTCCAAACCAATTTTGCTATTCTATGTTCATGCCCATAGTCAAGCTCTAAGAGCTCTAAGCCACAAAGCAATTTAAAAGCCTTAAGCTATGTAGAAAGTATCTTTAGCTGCTACCCAAAAGACCGCAAAAGCCATAGCCCGCAATCCTTTTCATGATAAGTGGCCAAGCAGCAAATGACTCATCCTGGCCAGTACTGTCACTACATTTGCTCCGATGTCGTTAGGCTTTGATCCTGTCTGGCTGCGACAGAAAGAAAGAGAGATTTTGCAGTCGGGCTGTTGAGCTCTCAAACTATTTGCACATTGAGTGCATGCATATTAGTTAGCATGGAAAAGGGAATATCTAATGAGCTGCGTGTACCGTCCATTAACAGGCGCAACGCATTTTCACAAAGTTTAGTTCCATTAGAGAGTAGTGCGTCGGCATCGTCTTCGTCGTCTTGGCCTTCTTCTGTTTTTCTATTTACCCGGCACTCACTTAGCCAGACAAACTGAACAACTAATAAAAGTAAAGCAACAACAACGCATTTGCACACAAATTTCGTTGACCAGTTAGGCGGAAGCAATTTGACTGTTGTAAAAGCTAAAGATACAGATAGAAATACAAATGCGGATACACTCGCTGACACGCTAAGCAATCAGTGCAGCGACCAGTTGCCCCCTTGCGCTTTGACACATGAATATGCAAATATGACGCAATCATCGCTGCCCCCTTTTCCCCTCACAACTGCGCATTGAGGTCCCCCTTAGCATAATTGTCGCTGCCCAGCTTTTGCCACTTACTTCGATTTGCTGCGTTGTTCATTAATTTGCACTGGCGGCCGGTCAGGACTCTCTGTGGACTCCTGGGCCTGAGAATGCTGTTGGCATTGCTATCACAGCTGGCTGACATCGGGGCACTTCGATATGGACCTGCCTGACTTTGTTGCCCGTTAATTGATTGCATCCATTTAGGTACCGCAGCGTTGTCCCCCCACCTCCTGCTGGTGCTTTTCTAGCCAACCTGGTCTGGCCATTTGGTGTGAATCTTTGCGCCCGTCTTCGAATTAATTAGTGCCTGCTGCACGCCTCGCCCCTTGACAGCTACCCGATATTTATTAATTGAAATTGAAAACTGAATACTTACATTTCTAGGCTTGCAAATCTGCTTGATGTCCGCAACATAATATTGCGTCTATTGCCCTAGGAGCATACAACTACTATGAGACTCCAGTCCGTGCAAATACTTAAATACATATTTCTCAGATGACGTATTCGCTTATCAGCTCAAGTTTTGATTAGCTGCACAGCTCAAGGTTAAAGCAAAAAGCAAATTCCCTATGAGCTATACATTTATGCGTACACTCCCGTACAAAAGTATTGGCTATTTAATATTTGCTCTTTTTATGGTCGGTTTTTTTCAATATGCATTTTTAAACGATCATATGCTTTTTGTGCACGAATTCAATTATTTCTATTAACTCTTATATTAGAACACGTTAATTCAGGGTTTATTACAGTGTATTCACAATTTTTAATATAGAGTTGACATTTTATAATATTACTTTTTATATGGTCTCATACTTTCTGTGCCGGAATGCAACCTTGCAAGCACTCTTAGTTAAATTGTGTTTTTCCGATAACTGGAAAATTTCTTAAAAGACTAATTTACATGTGTTTTAGTTTTGTTAATATTTTTTTGCATTTTCAAACATTTATTTGCACTATCGCCAATAAGAAATTAGGCAAACTTTTTTCTAATTTTGTGCCTAAAATTCTTTTCTAAATACGTTTATGTAAATAAGATGTATCGAAGAAAATAAAAATAGAATATATTTTTCAGTTTAATTAATAAATAATTATTTTGTCTTTTTAGTTGACCTATACTTTTGTCCCTGACTGTGTATGAACACATATTTTATTATTGAGTATCAAATTGTTATATATTTTCAGACAGTCGTCTGATTTTTTGTATTTATAAAATTTTCTCAGTTTTTTTTTAAATAGTATTAAACATTTGATTCTCAATAATTTGCTGCTGATATGGGTCGTATCATGAGCTGTATAAATTTGAGTGTCTCTTCGAAGCCGTGCCAGTGTTGCCAAATGATTCCCTTGCCACGTGAGCTGGTGCTCAGCTGCCGCCGCTTATAGTACTTGCCATTGGGATTGCTAATTAATGGAATAAAATATTGAGTACCATTTAAGTATTGAGCAAACACGAGTGCGAGACATACCAAAAGGCTGCACAGGCTGCATACCACCAGGCGCTGTGATATCGGCGCGCACAGCTGCCTTCCAGCCAGCTATCGTTATCGCTGTCCAGTGTTGAGAACTTCTGCAGGACATTCAAGCCCATCGAGTTGCCAGCGTTGCCAGTGTATCTGCCCAGCGAGCTGAGCTCGTAGAAGGTTTTCTCGCTGCCTATGCTGAAGTTGTCATAATGTGCATAGCGTATCTCGCCCTCGAAGTCCTCCAGATGCACATAGAGCTCATAGGGCTGCAGTGCGGTCAAGCGATGCAGCTTCTCTAATCCAATAAAGAACTCGCCATTAAGTGCACCAAAACCCACTTGATAGTCGCTCCAGTTGCGAAAGAAATTTACGCTGCCGTCCATGCGGCGTTGGATGACCAACCAGCCGGAGCCAGCGAAACGCGCGTCGCAGGGCACATAGAAGGAATCCAGGCCAGGCAGCTTGATCCTATAGATGCCGGTGGTGCTGCCAAAGGGTAAACAGCTACGCGGCTGAAATTCTTCCAATTCATCATCGTAAGCCTTGAGCTTGCTGTGTGCCGCCTGCAGCTTTAACAAATGCTCATTAGTCAGGGTTTGTAATTCCAAAATTGTTGCATCTTTTAATTTGAGCTGTAAACTCAGCTCCGATATTTTAGCCTCAAGGTCCACTTCACTCGGAATTTGATCTTGATAGTCCTTGGCCATTAAACTAATTCTACAGCTGGTCAAATTCTGCAGCAGTGTTGTAAAGTGATCTTCAATTTCCTTGAGCTCGTCTGCAGCCGTTTTGGCCTGTGCCCGGCAAGCAGCCAACTGGGTCTCCTTCTCCCTGACATGAGTCTCGCAACACAGCTCTGTTGCTTCAATGTGCCCAGATATTTTAAAATCGGTGTTGGCTTCCAGCCTAAGCAATTGCTTATTGTTTTGGCTGATCAGTTCTTCAAGTTTTAGAATTTGTACCTGTACTTCATCATCCATCATATTAGCCCAACTGCTACTTACTGAGAGCAGCAAAATGTAATATTTAAAAGTGTTAGAATATCTGCACATTTTGCTTATGCGTCCCGGACTAAAAGTTAGAGCTGATTTTTTATACGAATTTCCACGTTTGGGCAGCTCTCTGAGAGCGAACTCTAAGTCAGACTGGTTATCAAGCCATACACCAGCAACAATATGTTGGGAGTCTCAGATAAGCGCTATCAGTATGCTTTTCCTGCTTAGTACACTGAGCAAAATTATTTGACATATAAATTATTTCTCTTATTTTTATAGAGTTGTCAGATTTTGTTAATCAAATTAAAAATGTTCTCTGGCTAACCAAATTAGGCAGAGAGCTATTAGTGTTCCAACTTGACATTAAGCTTTATTTTTATTCAATTTATTTTTGGTTAAGTTTATAGTTTCTGGCCTTTATCATGATTTGAACTGACTTGAAGGAATAATAATTATCATGCCAGTCTGTACCCACCCAAAGGATGCCTTGATTCGAGGTGTAATCATCTGGTGTTTGATACGGACCATTCAAATTACTGCAAATAACAAAAGTAATTGTATACATGCATTTATTTATTTGAAATATTCCAATGAACGCACCTGAGACCGCACGCGTAGTACCACCAGGCGCCATGAAAACGTTCAGCACAGCTTAGAGATTCATCATTATCGTTATCACGATCGTAGGTGCTGAACTTTTGACCTACGTTTAGACTTAACGCATCATCCATGTCTCCGCCGAAATTACCCAGGGACTGCAGGGCATACGATTCCAGTTCAGAGCCCACCTTGAAGTCATCATATGTGGCATAACGTGTCTGGCCATCAAAGTCCTCCAGTTGTATATAGAGTTCCTGTGGTTCGGCTTCGGTCATGTGGTGCAGCTTCTCCAGACCTATGAAGAACTCGCCAGCTAAATCGCCGAATCCAGTTTTATAGTCGCTCCAGTTACGATAAAAGTCGACGCTGCCGTTGATCCTGCGCTGTATTACCGTCCAGCCGGGACCAGCTATTTGGCCATTGCAAAGCACTCGAAAGGGTTCGCCCACACCGGGCACCTTTATCACATGCACATTTGAAGACTTGCCAAATTGCTCACAGCTTGAAGCCTTGCAGCAGTTCGTGTAGGCGGCGATCACAGAGTTCAATTGCTCGATACTCGCAGCATCAGAATTCACCTGCGATTGCAGTTCAATAATCTTGTTGCTCATTGTGCCTATACTTTTATCACTTATGGTCAATTTTGCTTTCAGCTCCTGATTCTCTCTGAGATGCTGCTTGGTGGCCTCGGCTTGGCCTTCGAATTCCGCAATGCGATCGTCTTGCTGCATTAAAGTGACGTTCATGACATCTATTGTCGAGGCTTGTGCATTGATTTTTCTATTTGCTTTACTCAATTCGTTAGTCTTTTGCAACAGCTGTTCCCTTTGTTCTTGCATGGTTAATTCACTTGAGTTTAGTTTAGTAAATGTTTCGTCGATGGTTTGCTTCAGTCCATGCAGTTCGCGGGTAATGTTTTGTAGTTCATTGGGCTTAACACGGAGTGTACCTTGCAGATTTATTTTATCCTTTAATTTTTCATTATTGATCGTCAGACTCTTGACCAGCTTTTTGTAAATATTTGTTTGCTGTTTGCGCTTTTCTTTTATGGCATTGTAGGATTTCTGTAACTCTGAAAACTTAGAATACAAATTTTCGCACTTGCTTAACATAGTTTCGGCTTGTTCATAACTAGCCAAAGAGTTTTCCAAAGTCAATAGCACTAAAATGATGTGCACAAAAATCTTACTTTGCATTTTGCACAAATTATCAGCTCAATTTTATTCCGTTCGTATTTCTTGCTTCAGTCGTTCTGCACGCGACAGTTGGAATTAAAATTGCTTATTAATCAACATATAATACTTGGAATTTTTCAGAAGTCTGTTATGTTTATACACTGCAACCGTTGAAAATAGGCATATTGGTTTGATGCTAATTTATTTAATAGTGCTCAGCCAAGTCGATCTAGCTCTCTTCGTTTATCCGTCCGTCAATCTTAGAGACTACGAGAAATAGAGATATGAAATTTTAAAAGTCGGTCCTTCTATGCCAAGGAAGGTACAAGTTTATTACACATCATCGATAACTTGTCGCGCTGCAATGAAATCGATAAAAAACGATAGCAATTCCCAGTTTTCTTAACATATATCGGAACTTATAAGAGCCCACCAAATATCGTAGATATATTCTCGTATAGTATACACATGTCTAGAATGTTTCTTTTTTCGGATACCCCATCCCATTCGGCTTCTTGCGCTTGCTCAGCGTCTGGGTTCAAGGTATCTTCAAGTCGGGCACTCTTTAACTTGAACCCCCTTGTTAATAATAACATGCTTATCGCGCAAACAATATTATATAAATATACACAATATATACTTATTATACCCTTGCAGAGGGTATTATAATTTTGTCCCGAAATGTTTAACGCATAGATGGACATCTACAAGTATACGTTCTTGTGTATTTAATTCGATATAAATCGATATTTCTATAGCTACATATATTTTTATTTTTTTATTTATCTATCTATATGTGTACATGTATGTGGGAGCAGCCTTTAATAAATTTGTGTATAGTCTATTTCTCATGAGAACTGGAAGAGTATTCAATGGTCACCGATTTGTAGATAGTTGTGTTCTTTATTGTATGCAAAGTCGGCATTCTGAAGGAAAAAAAAAACAATTAAAAAAATATATAATATAGTTTAGCTGGAATATTTCAGTTAAAGTTCACTGAAAGAATTTAACCAGAACTTTAGAAATTCAACAGTTTTTTCTTAAATGGGATCTTTTTAATGAACATTTGCTTTATGAATATTTTTACAAAAATTGAGAAAAATTCATTTTGGATTGTACATTCATTACAATAATCTTTAAGCTCGATATATTGTTAAAGATTGCTAATATTGAAATTTAGCTTAACTTGAGCTTCTAGTTTAGCAACCATCGTTAACATCACAAACAACTATGCAGAATTAATTGACTTAATCTAGGAATCAAGTGAAATGTTTTTTGTATTTGATGAATATTTTAATTTCCTCTTAATTTGACAAAGGCTGAAGCTTTCAAAGCGGTGCAGATGCGCTGCGTGAACAGCAGCAGCATCAATTAAATGGTTATATTTTATTAAAAGTCTTGAACAAAAGACGCAATGGCATTGCCATGGCAAATAGATGGCGCGATTTTCGCTCATTTTGTGGTGCAACTGAGCGTATACGCAACGTGCAACAGTGTGAGACCGTTTGAAGTGTGGGCGTGGCTGGTGTAGCATCCGCCGGTTGCCATAACGCTGACGCGGCAGCTCGACTCAACACGACTGGACCAGCCTCGAGACGCGACGACGCCTGCACTCCGCAGACAGGTGCGATGGATAGGGTAGGAGGGGCGGTGTGGGCAGGTGTGAGCGGGAGCAGAGCTCTAGACAACGCTGTTATTTATTCCGGATTTGTCTACCTTTTTTATTTATGTTTGGCAGACGCCAATTTTCATGGCGGCGGCAACGGCAACGGCAATGGATTTGGCTTTGGCTTTGGCTATCCAAAGGATGCAGGTGCTCTTCAGCTTACCTGCACGTAGAAGCAGGCATGGGGGTGCGGCTGACCACGTGATTCTGTGCGCCAGCCAAGCGGAAAATAAAAGAAATGCCAAGCAACAGCCGCCACGTTGTAAGCTCACCTTTGATTGTCTTAGCCCATTCGGACAGACGCTCGCCGGCCAAGTAATGAAAACTGCCCCTAGTTAAGGGTTGAGTTTTTGGCAAGCCAGCAGCTAAAGGGAAAGAGATGAACAAAGATAGAGGGAGAGAGAGAGAGAGAAAGAGAATTAGAGAAATATCTCTGTTTGTGCTGTAAATATTTAAGCTGTAAAAATGCTTTTGGCTTCTGGCTTTGTCTACGTCCTTTGTCTTTTGCTTAGAATTGAAATGGTATCGTTTAAAATTGTTTCCGCGTTGCTGTCATTTGGAGCAAAGTGCTTTAAGCCAACTATTTTTGATTAAAAAACTTTCTTGTTGGCCGACAAACAAATTCAATAAGCGGCAGCAAAAATCAATAACAAAAGCCGACAGCTGCCTCACAGCCTTCCATCGAAGTGGCGCGAACTAAGTAATCTAAGCCACAAAACACAGCCGCAGTATGCGTAGCAGGGTGTGTGAAAGTTGTTGGCGGGGGGAGTCGGTTTGTGTGGGGCACATAAATTCAAGATGTGGCCATAAGATTTATGACGATTGCGAACGTGGAATTTCGACAGCGACCATAGACAAAAGTGGCCAAAAGAAAATGCCGCAACATTTGTGCGCGCCTGTGGCCTTTGAACTTCTGTGTAGGGTGGCCAGCAGGGGCGGGCAGGCGTGGCTGGACAACAATTTACAGTAGGCATATAAAATGTGCATAAAAATTGAAACTGCCGGCGCGCCTGCCGCCTCTTGAGAGGGGCCGGGCCGTCTGCCTGGCACTGAAGCATGGGGCGTATACTTTACGCATTTTAAGTTTCAATTTCACAGCCGAATTTATGGGCATAAAAATGGCGGCATGGCCATTTTATGGCCACTTCCGCTGACCAAAAACAGCAAGAACTCTAAGTGATTTCTAACATAAAAACGCATTAGAGCCAGACGTCAGACAAATATGATAAATTTAGCGCAGTTTTTATGCCATATAATGTTGTCTGACTTTCAGCTTGGAATTTGTTGGCTTCAAATCGAAATTTGTCGAGTTTTTATTTACTTCACTCACTGACTCCTTAATGAAAATACGTTTTATCGTGCAATTCGCCGGGGCAACCCAACCCCTAACCATGCCCTGCATTGAGCAGCGCAATCAATTGTCAAAGTCGTCGGGTCCACGGTTCCATAATCTGGCTTATTATGCAAAGTAAATGCCCGGCCCTTTGGCAGCGGACCCCAACCCGGTCCAATGGAGACGCCAGATAATCTTGGTGATATTTCATTGTTGTCGTCGCCAAGGCTTGTAAATGTGTTAACAGCTACGCCTCCCCTTAGCCTCTGCCTCACTTTCTCGGCGGTTGCCTCGCGCCAATTGCGAAATATTTCCGTTTCCGGTTTGCTGTTGTCGCTTATGCACTTCCTTCATTCCCGCTCATTTGTCGCGACCCGCTCATAATGCTGGACTATTTGCTGAGATTTTTCGTTTACGCCGGAAGCGTTGCCATATTTTTTTATATGCCCTGCCCCATATCCGCTCATATATGGAAATACTCGAATTTATTATGCGTTTGTCCAATTGTCTCGCGCGTAATTTTCCAATTTCCATAAACGGTTTCAATTTCAGCATTTCCTTCATTTTTTTTCCTATTTTTATTTTTATCATCGTGTTTATGTGTTGGTCGAAAGGGTTTTGCAATTTGGCGTTGGGTTTCCTTTGCGCTTCATTAGCATATTAAATGGTTCCTTAAAGTTGATGAAGTATTAAATTATACGATTGTAGCTATGACTATGCCACATTATGGACACGTTTCTTTCCATTTGTGGGACAAATAGCCCAAACAGACATGTGGGCAGAGGATTCAGAATATGTTGATTATGTGGCAACCCTAAACAGTTTTTCTATTTCAATTTACATATTCATTCATTTGCTACTCATACTTATATTTCGTGAAGAGATTTTTTTCAGTTGCAAGATTTTACAAATTATGTGTTTAAGAAAAATGAATAAAGGAAATTGCTTGCATTACATTTGTTCCAGTTTTTCAAAAGATATTCCCGCTATAAATATATATCTGAGTATGTTCCGCATTCTTGTTACGCTCAAACATTTTTAAACTCCAGTAAATTCGAATATACTATATATGTACATATATAAAAATAAGGAAAAACTGTTTGTAGTTTCAGCTCTTAGTTTCTTGCATAGCAAATGAAAATCAAAAATAGCCAAATATTTCACATAGCTCATTTGCATTTTCTTCATATACCTCTGCCTTAAATTGCATTCCTCTAAGTTGTCGAGTATTTTGCTTGTCCTTGCAAAAGCAAAGCCCGTTAAATAGTCGAATTCACCTCAGAAACTAAAATCGGATGACACAGCCGTCGCACATGATCACATGCTGTCCGTGCAAAGCATATATTTGGCAGATACTCCACTCTCTGTCCGTTCCATTTCATCTCGTCTTTTTCTATGCAACTGAATGACTTCATTTTGTGCGCTCAGCCATGCAAATTCGCAACTGATTTTGCGCCCAAATCACATTGTTGGAAGATGCAGACGATGGCACCGTATGGAAAAGTGCAAAAAAAAAATCACGATTTAAAAACTCTAAAATTAAGCTATCATCAGGTTTTACAACTGACTCTGTCTCACTTTCGCCTTCTATCTCTCTCTGTTTCACTCGCTTGCTCGCTTCTAGGTGGGAACACATTCGAGTACAATATGTGTATAAAAAAGTCAAAAAGAAATAAGTGCAATGCAATGTCATTAAAGTAGACAAGTAGACAAGGACGAAAGGAGTGGTGGGGACTGACGATGACTATGACCAACATAAAATCACAACGCACACAGATACACACACACACACACACACAGACACGCAGCAGATAGAAAGACAGTTGCCGTAACCCAATCCGTAACCCAACCCGTATTCCTGTCTGTGGTCGCTTATCGGACGTTGTGTGCGTCGTCTGGCTCTGAGCTCCAAGCTCTGTCCCCGGTTCAGTAACCGTGTGCGTTACATAAAGCTGTAATCTGTGCTTATAAAACGGCAAAATGGCAAAACTCTGCAGAGGGTTTTTAATTGTCTGTGCCGGATGGCAGCCTTAAATGCCCCGTCGACACAAGATGGACCCGAATCACACAAAGAGAAACAAGGCACTTGAACTGAGATCAAGAAAATATTTAATTGCCATTAGAATTTTATTTTAATCAAAAATAACAACCATAACAGAGATATTATGTTGAAAATAGCAAGAAATAAATAATAAATATTAACAAAATTATATTAAAAACTAGGCTTAAAAAGTTCTAACAAACTAGGTTTAGTAACAATCGGAGAAAAAAAAATTTGAAAAAAGTATATGAAAATTAAAAAAGTTTAACTTTGTTTAAGCTATTTTATTTTGAAAAATGAACTTGATAAATCTAGAAAAAGAA